TGCTTGGGCACGCGCGTGCGTAGGTATCCCGTCCAGTGGTTAAGGTAATCACGAAGACACGAAGACATTATGGCAGTTCGCATTGGCAAAGGAACCATTGTGGCAGCCGGCGGCAGGCTCGACGCCTCAGGAGAGTCTGCAATGTTGCTAGCATTTGGTCAGGCTAGACTCCTAACATTGGGCAGGTCATTACACTTATTTACAGACTGGGGGCCCGTAAAACTTGACTCAAGCAACTCGCGGCTCATGAAGTTGTCACCTATTGCGAGAAGTTCGGCCTTATTAAATTGGAATGTGTGGCCGGGTTTCGTCGAATAAACCGCGACTTTAGAATTGGCATCATTTCTCCGCACTGCTGGCGCATGCTCGGCAATTCGCGTTTGGAGAATTCTTCCAGTTTCTCCAATGTAGTTGAATTATCCGCCTTATCCGATAGACGACTCCAGATATTTCTTGCCGTGGCAGTGAGTCTTTTGGTTTAATTATCTGACACCTTATGGTTGCCTTCGGTCTGTGTACGACTTCAAATCCAAGTGGTGCAAGAAGGCGGCCGACAGCCTCCGAGACATTTTTGACGAACGGCATCGCTCGCCGAAATTGGAGATCGGTGCGATTTTGTTGCTTATCTTGTCTGCGCATGCATCGGCTGAAGAAGTTGCGCGGGTAGCCATTTTCTTTGAAGACCCGTCGAAGCTATTGTATTTCTGCGTATGAATTGGCAAATCGGCATCCCAAGAAGAAAAATTATGTAGAAAAAGACACTTTGGGAAACGATGGTTTATTAGGTGAACCCCAGTTCGTGTTCAGACGTGGAGAAAAGTGAATGTGCCAAAAACAACTAACAGCTATTATCGAGAGTTCGTGGGAAAATCGATAATGTCGTGGCGTGATGCTTGCGCCAGTAACCTGTTGCCGTGTTTTTCATTCCGTTCGGATTGGCTCGCGTCTCGCCCACTTCTGCACGACGATTCCAACTCGCTGTGCCTGTTTATGCATTGTGCGTCTGAGTGCATAGCTTCGGGAAATTCGCGGCCTTTCTTGTATGGACAAGAGCCATCAATGCGAGTTTCGTCCCATGCAAATTGGTGTCCAGTTTCCAATGTGTGCATGGCGACTT